CAATAAGTTTTTACTTCATTGCTTGCTGCCATTTCGGGTCGTACTTGTATTTGGACCTCGTGTAGCATAGAGTCCCTTTATACTGAGAGTCAGGACAATACCCCCTCATGGAGTCACAAACGGGAATGAAGATTACACAAATTGATAGTTTTTCGAAATCTTCGATGATAGTTCCTTCTCTCATTCCGTTTGTTCCTTGCCGAACCCGTTATTCCCCGGCCCATTCTAGATAATAATTTTTGCTGTCAGTGAAAATGTGATCTTAACTCCTGTTTGTGACACAGTGGAGGCCTAAATTACGGGAACCAATCAGAAATGGATTCACACTGTCTTAACTCTCAGTATATAAAGGGACTCTACTTTAAAGTAGACTGCTGGTAAAAAGTTTTCACTTCATCGGTTGCTGCCATTTCGGGTCGAACTTGTATTTTGGCCTCATGTAGCAGAAAAGGAAGCAAGGCCCATCGGCTATTGCCAAACTTTTAACGCAAAAATTTGGTCGCTTCAGCACAAAGATTTAGTCGATTTGACACAGCTAAACCTAACGCCCCCCCCCCAAAAAAAAAAAAAATTAACCAACAACTTGTATCACTCCGTGCTTTACTTCCCGTACTAACACGAAATTTTGATTACTTTTTCTTACCGTGAATTTTCGGTGACCACATTTCCTGAAGGATGAAGGCAGTCCTGCATTTTTCGGCAACGCCGTTGGAGTAGACAGCAGCCGGATCCCGGACCGCACAGTCGGTCTATTACTGCTGCGTAAAGTTCAAGATTTGCATAGGTAAAATATAACGCGGATGCTGTAGCCCGCCCGCCCGGCGTTATTGTTATGACTCCCGCCTCGGCGGCTCCGGCCCTTTCATAATTGGCGAAATTATTAACGCGACCCATGCGCGGTTTAATTATCCCATTCCCCCCTCCCCGCTCCCCCGCCGCTGGATTTATCGGCGAACGGTCTATGATGCACGTTGCGTTGAGTGGTGATGCGTGCCCCTTCGAACCCGTTTCCGCCTGCAGACGCTGGAAGCTCCGTTTGCCTAAAGCTTAAGGTGAATCTATCTACAACCAACGTGTAGCAGAAGCGGATCCAGCACTTTGGCAACATCGGATTTCCTCCATTTTAAGCTATGCTAAATAATCGATTCTTGTCGGAGCACGTGGCCCCTCCAAGAATCGATACATTCTGCTAGGTTTAAATTGAAAAAAAAACTATGTTGCCAATTTGCTTGATCCACCAATGGCGTATAGATACTGAGCACATTTTGTCGTTCCTCACACGAAAGGAGGTAACTAAACCTCGGTGTTGCCAAATTTTCCCTCGCATTTAGCATTTTTACCCGAAGAATCCTGGGAATTCGTAACCAAAAATTTCACTGATTTTTCCCCGGATTTCATGCAAAAATCAGAATAATCTTGGATTAAAATTGCGCAGGTACATATTCTTGTAAAGAATTGAATTGTTCGAGTCAAATTTTGCAGCCTCAGACTGGAGTTGCGTTCTTTCGTCCGAGAACCGACGATTTTGCTGAAATACTGGGTTCATTTTAAATTCTTGGCAGCCAAGGGATCCATTTCGCCTGCACCGTGAGGTAAAGTAGTTATTGAGTGTTATGATATAGGAAGTGGAGCACAAAATAATGTAAACGTGACGGTTTCCGTCCATTTAACCAACAATTAGGTCGATCAACTGAGTTCTTTTGGTTGATTTGACCGAAGAACAAGTAACCATAAGTACGGAAATGTTTAACTGTGTAGACGCTTATCTCTGTAGATGCGAGAGAATTTAAGAAGAAAACCTAAAAATTGTCACAGTATCGGGGTTCATATCAGCATTTGCACATTTGACCTACCTTGTCGGATGGTGAAGCCCTTTCCATGTTCTGTAGAAAGAGCGTTTACCGTAACTTTCCGCTAATTGAATAAGTTCCCGCTGAGAGGTATTTAAATTTCCGTGTTGACATATGTCAACGAATAGCTCTTAGTTAGACTATTTTATCGTAGCCCACAATACGCGCGTATTTAGGTTTTTATGAAGTTTTCTTCACTAACAAGCTTCAGAGATATTCACCTGTTGATTGCCAGAGAATAATTATGGAAATTAGCCCCTGTGCTTCTCTAGTAAAACCGTAAACAAAAAGAAAAAAAGGATTCTGTGGGCTTATATTAATGATCACTGAAAAAAAAATGGAAATATTTATTTGAATTAAAGCGTCGTTCCCTGTCGATTTTTTTTTAAAGTTAAATCCGTGCAGATTTAAATTAAAGTCAGTATTTTTGAGTTAAAGAAACGTTGTTTTGCCATCGTTTATTTAAACTTAAGAAACTTAACGATGCCAAAACGACGCTTCTTTAACTTAAAAAAACTGACTTTTAATTGGATCCTCGCGGATGAAAAAAAAATTGTCGACAAGAAACAACGTTTCAAGTCAAAATAATGTCTCAAGAAACAATTTTTTCCGTGATGGTGGTGCCATAAGGCGCTTACTCTTAATGATCCCAATGACTGCCCTTCTTCTGGAGTTCGATCATAACATCAAGAGCTCTAGATCTCATGAGATTAACTGTGACCCCCATCCTCCTTCATAAGGTCCCCACTGAAAAAAAATCTCGGTGTATTTACTAAGAAAAGAGTAAAAATACCAAGAATTCAGGGTTCTATTTGATCCCTGTTTTTTCTTGGTAAAATTACCATTTATGGAATTGGTAATTTTACCGAAAAATCTAGGTAAAATTATTGAACTCTCTCGGTGATTTTACTGGACCTTGGTAAAAACGCCAATATTTTTTATGGACTGTGGTAAAATTACCGAGATAAAATGGCGAAGTTACCGGGAATTGATTACCAATAAAAGTGGTATTCTTGCCTGGAAAAAACAGCAAAAATACCGGTTTTTAGGTAAGCTTACCAGTCTGTCTTAATAAAATTATCAATAATTGGTAAAAAAGGGATATTTTAAAGGTACCAACGGACCTTGGTAAAAACGCCGAGAATTTTTTTTCAGTGCCCCAGGAATTTTCTCCTCTGGAACAAACACCACCCCCCCCCCCNCACGACACCAGGCATAATTTCCTCCTTCCTGAGAGGAAGATTTATCGGAACGAGCGGCGTCAAAGCCAGCGAGACTTTATGGAGCTGCCCTATGGTCGATCTCGATATTTCCAGCCGGTGCCGAAGGCTAAACTCATTTTGCGGGGTGAAGCCGTTACTCCCGACTCGGTCCGGCCGTAATATTCATACGGACGCGGTTAATACTCTTGTTGTGACACTGCCAGCAGTGTGAAGTAATAGATTACGCCCTTAATTGTCATAACCCTCGTCATAAGGCGCTTGAGTCCTTCGTGTCCTCCTTCCGTTGCCGAGTAGTCATGGAAAATGTATTTATTTCTGAAGTGTGGAAGGGATTTAGTAAGGGCGATTGGTCTTTTTTCTTCATAAATTTATTTTCGCATCCGAGTTTCATACTAGTGTTGTTTTTCATTGCTATATCAGTATCGATCCTCACTAAGTAGTAGGATACAGCTCTTCTACAAAATTGATTAAAAGGAAACAAAAACAATCTCAAAAAATGAAAATAAGTATGAATTAAGAAAAAATGTCGAAAGAAGAGAGATTTGATGTGTTGCATTCCCATTTCCGAGGCACCTCCCACTAATTGGATTGTATTTTGCAAAAATGAACCACTAGCATTGCAATGTTGCTAGGATTGTGCAACTTCTTTTGTCTTGGAGGAAAAACCCGGTTATCCATTAATAGTTTCTATCTTACTCGCTAAAAACTGCAAATTTAAGACAAAAATTACCATCTAAATTTCATAGTTTTTCACGATTTCCGCAATTTTATTGCAAAAGATGAAGTTGCACAATCTTAGCATCATTGCAATGCTAGTGGTTCCTTTTTGCAAAATGCAATCCAATTAAGGAAACGAGGAGCGTTAATGAAATTGAAAGAGTTTCAAATAATAGAACAAACATCCACCTTTTGAGTGAGAAAATTGTCCCCTCGTATGACTTGTTATGTCTTGGCATGATACAAGCCTAATAAAAGTTTATTTTTAAAATTAGTTGTCTCAAAATATACCGTCCAAGAAAGTCAATCAGAAATGCATTAAATAATTATTCAGTACTTTAATCAATCGCGTGGCAATGGCAATCCATCTTCCAGAATTAGTTTTTCCGTCTGCTTCCTTTTCTTATTTTTTTTCTTCTCCCCCCCCCCTTTTTTTTTTGTCTAAGTACCCAAATGGAAATTCGTTCTGTCAATGATGCTCTGCCCCCGGTAATTTCGGCAAATGAAGGCATTGTTCGGGAAATGAAGCAGTCCAATGGCGCGACTAACTTTAAACTTTCTGTCCAATTTTGTCAACAACCCGCAAGTTTTAATTGTAAAATCACCTTTTGCCTGTTTAAATTGACCTCTCCTAGTCTTAATAAACGCTGATACTGCGAGTCGTTTAGCAACTGTGGCTTGCACAAGTTTAAAGGCCCATCATTGGATCGTTTTCGTTTGCCAAATTTCTTCACATTTCCAATGTCTGTTTGTCCATCTTTAGTTGTCAGCAACCCAATCTGGCAGCTCCGCTTCGCCTCGCATTTTAAGTATTCCCGAACTCCCTCCGGGGAGGGGAAGGGGGGTTATTTTTCTCGTTAGGTCGGTCTTATTCTAGTACCCCGATCATTATTTATCACGCGGAAAGTTGTGGGCACTTCCGAAGAGTAGCAATCTCGCGGACTTTTGATTTACCGACTTCCATCGTCCACCGATACATCCGCGAATCGGGGACCGTAGTCGAAGGTTGTGCAGTTGAACCGAACGTTAATACCGCCTACACCCTGCACATGTCTTGGCAGAAGCTATTTTTGGATTTTCATCCTCTTTTTGACTACTCCTTTTGTTGCATTGTCATATTAGGACGTATATATGCCAGAAGGAACTATGTGCATGTATGTGTGATGTGGTAGCGTCATCTCTTCATCGAATCTGTCTTTTTCTTTTTCAGCAAAAAGTACGCAACTATGAACCTACTCAATCGTGGAGGGACAGACAAATTCCAACCGTTATTGAGTCAGTTCTTTCCCGCTCCTAACAGTATGGCCAATAAGGAGGTGAACGATACCTGTGGCTCCTCAAATTGCAGTTTAGTGACTGCAGCTGCATTAACGGGGACGACTGTCTCCAATCTCCTAGTAAAAAACAAGTCTTTAGCATCGTACAGCCATGGAGCCTTGGGAATAGAAAAAGTATTAAAAGTACTTAAAGAAGCAGGATTCACCAACGCCCGTTTAGTTTTCGAGGGGGAAACAAAAAGTCTCAACATATTCTTATATTTCAACTTCCCCCGCGGGGCGACCCAAGAGTTCGCCCTAGCATATACCTTCTCCGGTACGACATCAGGGCATGTCGTTCATGCCAAAATCTCAAAAACGAACGACGGTGAAGTTCACGTATTCGTTACTGATTTTCAGCAACCTTTGCATTCTGCAGAGCGCAACAAAAGAGAAATACCAAGGGATGCTTTTTTAACGTATCTGATTGCTCCAGGAAGAGTTTTTACTCTATTCTACATGGATCTGATGGTCCTTTTAATAGCCATCCTGGTTTTAGTAGCCATAATCTATTTACTACTTGCACCGGCGATGAGTATTTTGATTCGCATGTTTGAAAGACTTAAAATTTGAAAGTGCCCAGTCATTTTAATATCTTTTCACAGTTTCACATAGATTATTTCATTCATCACTTTTCTTCTGTTATCTTCAAACAATCTTCGCACGTCCATCCCTAAATTTTGTTCTCTTTTAATCTTTCCTAAATAACCTCCATCATCCATGTCTTTTCGACGACCTCCCTATTTTTCAATGATCTGATTTGCTTCATCTTTTGAAATCATTGATTTTTTTTTTTTTTTTTTTTTTTTTTTTTTTTTTTTTTTTTGATTTTTTTTAATACAAAAATAAAAAAGAACAAATATAACTTCTCCGAAATTTCAATTTTTCTTCTCACATGGAGGGAGGAGCGTAGTTCAAACTTAATTTGTGCGGCCCCCGTGTGGGAACAAGGCCAGGAATCCATTATTGTACTTCGTTCAATACACTCTTCCGTTTCAGGCCTAAAATTGTAGTTTCATTTTTTCCTCGCTCTACACGAGATCATCCTTACTCGCCATACATCCCATTCTCTGATGTATTATCACACGCAAAATGTCATTTAACGGTTAGGTATTTGGACGTAAATATTTTGTTGTATTATTTTTTTATTTACTATTTTTTTTTTTATTTTTGGCGAAGAAATTATGTTTAAATGAACAAAATAAAAAAGTCAGTTAGTTACTTTGTTAATTTATATTTAGACATTCAGCATCCTAGGCTATCAAAGTCTTCACAAAGAATTTGAAAGATGGGTGCATATTCAAAGAACTGCAAGGCATGCCAGTTCTATGCATGTATTTATTTTTTATTTGATTAGTTCGTTCATAGTGCCGTTTAGCACCTTCATTTACCCTCATCTCTACCTCCACTTGTGATAAATTCAAAACAATGCGGCTCTATTACGAAATTTTTATTGTTACTCGAAGAGGAATTCAAAAATGACAGTGAGGATTATCCGATAAATTCATCGTTTTAATCTTGCAAAATTTAAAATTCGTTCATCCCTAGTTCGATCTCAACTAAGGGCAATTTTTTAAGCTCATCCTTGCAGGCTGTTCAAGTGTAAAACAATGCGGCTCTATTACGAAATTTATATTTTTACTCGAAGAGGAATTCAAAAATGACAGTGAGGATTATCCGATAAATTCATCGGTTTAATCTTGCAAAATTTAAAATTCGTTCATCCCTAGTTCGATCTCAACCAAGAACGATTTTTTGAGCTCATCCTTGCAGGCTGTTAATTAACGTGCGTGGCCTAACTAGGCCAATAACGATTGTGCACGAGGCGTGGGACGTGGGTTCCGGCTTGCTTGTCTCTCGTCGCGCACAATCCAACGCATCCAACGCACAATGGACGAAGACGTAAGTTTTCGAGACAACAAGTAATGAATTGAGAAGTAATACCAGTGCGCCAAGATTAATCTCGGCGCGTCACACCTCGTTTTTACACCAAGTTTTTACACTTGTTTCTTTAATTTTCTTTTCTTTACCTGACGCACGGAGAAAAAAACTTCGTGCGTGGAACCCGAAGTTGAGGTCATATGGATCTCTGAAGTTTTCGGATCACGCATCTAAAAATTTGAGGTCCAGCTGCCGAAGTTCGGGTCAGACATCTGAAGTACTTCGATATACATCGAAGGGTTCGGGTCGCACATCTGAAGCACTCCGGTACATACCGAAGTGCCTCGATGTCTGACCCGAACTTCGGCAGCTCGACCTCAAGTTTTCGGATGCGTGATCAGAAAACTTCAGAGATCCATATGACCTCTACTTCGGGTCCCATGCACGAAGTTTTTTTCTCCGTGCGCGATAGGACCTAATCTCCAAATGGCCATTGCGTATGTAACGAAAGGACTACATGCATTTGGTAAGTCGTGAAAAAAATTATGTAAGCCAGCCTTGTGTTGAAAATTTCGCAGAAACCTTGTGTTATCGAAACGTATTTTAAGTCTTGTTCACAAGGACCGAAGAAAATAATTTGATACTTCCATACTGCCTTTGAAAAGCGAGGATAGATGTCGTTATCCGCCGTTTTATTCAAAACCATGCTGTACTTGACTACAGGGTCGTGTTTTAAGAGGAAGAAGTATTACCCAATATTTCACGCGTCTCATTCTTTTGTTCGTATCCATTGGGACTTACCTATCCAACTCGATTCTATGACACGATATTGCACTGAGAAAAAAATTCGGCAAATCCGAACTAGTTTGGATCATAAGGAACCACGATTTTGTTCGGTACACACAACCGAATTATTCGGTCTGTTCAACCGAATTGTTCGGTTTGTGCAACCGAACCATAATAAATTCTTACAGTTCGGTTCAGTGGACCGAAAAGTTCGGCTGAGCAGACCAAATAATTCGGTCGTGTGTACCTAACAAAATCTTGGTTCCATATGAACCAAACTAGTTCGGATTTACCGAACTTTTTTTCTCAGTGTGAACTTATCCTTTATTCTATGATCGAAAAAATGCCATGGAAACAAAACATTCGGACGCATTTCTGTCAAACGGAACTAAGCGTCAATTTCAGTTCTTTTTGAGGAAATTAGAATGCCGGATAGCGCGTTCTATCAAACGGAACTATAAGCGCCATGGAAAAGCATTGCGAGTATAGGACGGAATGAGCCCGACGCCCGATTCCGCCGCCAGTCCAAGCCCCCCGTCCCCCTGCCCCCATCTCCCTTCCTCCCCCGATGGCGCTTAGTTCTGTTTGACAGAAATACGTCCATTTATCAATCTCAAAATTTATGACCGTTTCTTGGCCACTATCAAATTGAATACTTACGAGTGGCTTTAAAATGGATCAAAGTTTGCTTTTCCGGTGAAAAAATGACTCCAAAAGTCTTCTCAAAGCATCCAGTTTGTTGGTGGGGAAAAAACACCAGAGATCGTCTTCAACGATGGGAGCACTGGCGATGGGAGTTCTTGGTTTTTTTCTCCACCGCGCAGACTGTGCGTCGTTTCAATTGACTTGTTCCGTCGCTAATTCTTTCGTTGCTTGCCCAGTGACAGAAAGAAAAAGTGACGCGCGTTGAATGGCTCCTCTTACAAGAGGGAGGTCCTATCTAATGGTCATAATGAAGCGCCAGGAGGTAGGCGGGAGCGTTGCAGTGGCGTCGCATGCTTTGCGATGAATCGATTGATCTGCCATTCAAATCTACGGGAAAGGATCGATAAACGGGGTTCTCGCAACGAACTCCTTTACCACAGCTTCAAAAGGTGAGATATCGATAATCGATCTCTATACTTCTTCCAAGGAGAGAAGGTAACGAGGGAGAAATCAAAGCTTCAAAGATGCGCTGAGCATCCTCGCGAACAAGTGGATTGCATTTTGCAAAAAGGAACCACTAGCATTGCAATGTTGCTAAGATTGTGCAACTTCTTTTGTCTTGGAGGAAAACCCCGATTATCCATTAATAGTTTCTATTTTACTCGCTAAAAACTGTATTTAAGACAAAAATTACCATCTAAATTTCATAGTGTTTCACGATTTCCGAAATTTTATTGCAAAGGATGAAGTTGCACAATTTTAGCATCATTGCAATGCTAGTGGTTCCTTTTTGCAAAATGCAATCCAAGTATAATCAAACTCCTACTAAACTCCCTTACACCCTGTTCACAGCAATGGACAGAGTTAGAAATTAAAAACCAAGGCACTCATCAAAATCTCAGGTAGAACACGTTCAACGTATTGAAAACTTCCAACGTGCACTCATATGTGAGAATTAAACTTCCGTAGCTTACATTTTAAACAGTTTGGTAAAAGTCTGCTTGAGCAGAAATCGTGGTCAACGTAGGTCAAAGCACGCATTGACCTCATCTTGCGCCTTAAGCCAATGCAATAACTAGAGCTTGTTCACACGCGTACATTTCGTTTCCTCCTCACATGAGTAAAATTACGAGTAAAACACTTGTGTGCTTTTTCAATAATTTACCAGCCATGCAATTTCAGCCACCTCGGAGTTGATGTATAGTTGTTTCGCGTGTTTGAAATTAACAGTGCGAAATGAAGTGCTCCTTCTATCCAGAAGATATGCTATTCGAGCCACTTGGAAGTTGATATAGTTGTATCATGCGTGTTGACCTTATAAAGCGTTTGAAGCTTGAACAATGAGCACAACATTATGAGAAAAATGGACCACTAGATAGGGTAAGAATTCAAGCACCACAGCACATGCTTTCTCATCAAAATTTTGACAAGGGATTATTTTTTGCTGTGCTTGATTTCGTAAGAAAATTATATAAATCATGTGTATCGAGTCAATCAGAGAGGTCGGACATAAAATTCTTGATTAAAACTGCTAATTTTGACGTCTATTTCGTCACATTTTAAATTTGTAGGGGAGCCTTTGAAGGAAAATTAAACGAGGAAATCAATGGAACCACTTTTAGAACCTCCGATTTTATTATTAACCGAGTTATCAGCTTTTGAAGTTTCCAAATTTTGTCTGACTTCTCCCATTGACTCGATCCACCGTGTGCCGCCGCACAAATACAGCATAGTTGGACATACTTGAAGGGAAAAAACTTCGGTTCTTATGGAGCACTAAAGTTTTCATTCCATGTAACCCGAAAGTCGAGTTATTATAGCCGAACTCAGACTCCGATTCTGAAAACCGGAGTTATACAACTGGAAAGTTCAGTTTGTTTACAAGCCGAAGCTTTTTCTCTGTGATCTCATTTTCTGTGACTCTATAAGTAGCTTTTGACAGTTGAAGCGTTATCTTTTAACACCCCTTGCTTAATGTATTTTTTGAGAAATGTGGAATTACTCTTAAAATGACAGACCAATTATTATTTCGTGTTCACCTTTTCTCTTTTTTACCCGAAACTTTGTTTTTTCTGTTCACAGGTACGTACCTCAATTTTCGTTCACCTTAAAAAGTCGTTGCAACCTAAAAAAGCTGTCTCCGCCGTTGTAATTTAGGTAAGTTAAAATTAGAAGGTTCATTGATTCACATTTTAATGACGAATTTAAAGCTCAGTTTTTCTGATAAGAATGATAGAAGTACTATCAAAGGGGACATGCTGAAACTCATTTCATCATTATATCAAGCTTTATTCCTTTTAGCATCGTGGACTGAAACTTTGTGCTAGGGTAACTGAAGTTTGTTTGTTGAACCTTGTTTCAAAGGAATGCTTTTTCGATCTCTCAATGATATTTCACGGTCCAATGGCCTAGTATTCTGCCGTGCTAAGGAAGAACGCCGGATGAACCTTCAGGAGTTGTCAAATTTCCTTTGAAAAATCACTATTTTTCAAGATCATTTCTGAATATTTGTCTTCCTATTCCTCAAGTAATTTGGTTTGCAATTTGATCTAAAAAGTCTGAAAATTTCAAGAAAAAATATTGATAACTTTCTTCAGAAAGGAATCTTTTCCGAGAGGAAATTTGGAAACTCTAATGTTCATACGGCGTTCTTCCTTAGCACGGCAGTATTATGAATTCTCCGTCTTATTTTACC